GTGAAAATCTGTGAAGTAGGAACTCCATTTAAATTTTAATATTTATACATTATTTTATATATTTTATATATTATTTTCGTATCCGTGTTTCCTTACCCGCGTCCTGGCCCATCCCAAGGATGCCTCCCTGGCCTCCGCAGAGCCTTCAGAGCTACACAGGCAGCAGTAGGCCAGGGAGACAGGCCTTCCCCGCCACACTTCAGGCCACTGCACTTTTGGCGTCCCTGGCCTCCACTGGATGTCAATATTTAATATTTAATATTTTATTACTATTTTCAAAAACCCACAAAACAGCGGGTCCGCTAAAAGCGAACCGTGAAGTAGCGAGGGAACATTGTATACAAATACAGTAAATAAATAAATAAATATATCCCACCACCATCTCCCAAAAGGGACTCTGGACGGCTTACAAGACACTACAGTGCAGTATATAACATAAATGGCACATGAGTATAGAACAACATGGCATAAAAATTATAAAAACAACCACTATCAGCACATAAAATAACACAATTTCAAATGCAGAGCCATCAGTAATTAAAACTAGTTGCCATCAATTAATACTAAAGTGTCAGAGTGTCAACTTCATATGGGCCCATTTCAGCCTTCTTGAGGCCAAAAGTCTGCTTAAAAATCCATGTTTTTAGGCTGGACCAGAAAGATTCAAGGGTGAGGGCTAATCTAATCTCTTTTAAGAGGGTATTCCAGAGCCAGGGAGCCACTACAGAGAAGGCCCTCTCTCATCCCCACCAACCACACTTGAGACAGTGGTGGGACTGAGAGAAGGGCCTCCCCTGCTGATCTCAAAGCCCACATCATTTCATAGAAAGACATGCAGTCTTGAAGATGGTTTGGACACAAAGCGTATCGGGCTTTGGGTCCTGATCCTCGAATTGAGCCTGGAAAATTGTCAGAGGCCAGTGGAACTGCTTCACGAAGGACATAATATGTTCCCTATAGCTAGCTCCAGTTGGTAATCTGGCAGCCATCCTTTGCACTAACTGCAGTTTCTGAACTGTCTTCAAAGGCAGCACCACATAGAGTGGATTACAGTAGTCCATTCTGGATGCAACTAAGGCATGGACCACCATGGCCCAGTCAGACTTTTCGAGATATGGTAGCAGCTGCCGCACTGCTTAAGCATCAACACAAATTGCATATAGTGTTCAAATCAAAAGCACCAACAAATAAGGGAAATATATATTAATACATTTTCCACGGGAGGGCTATCTCCCAGATATTTCTCTTCCTTGCACTAAGGACTAGAGAAAGGGTCAATGCCTCAAGATTCCAAGTTAGCCACTGCAATTTGGCAATCCTGGCTCATGAGGTTTGAAGAAATAAAGATGGAGGTCTCTCTAAAATCATTCTAAGAACATTGGGTTAATGTTGCCAATGTTTCTTTCTCACGCGAAGACTTACCTTGATGTTCCACTTCATTGCTTTCTCAATAATAGCAATGTATTCATGAAAAAGGACCACAACATTCTTGGTCAAGGACCTTTCATTCTCCACCAGAACGGAGAAGTTTGCCAACTTAGAATCTCCTGCATGAACTTCAGTTAAAATCTAGGTGCAAGTCCCCTGGAAATCATAAGCCTGTCCATCAAAAGTCAAGTAGTGGGATCCAGTGTTATGAACCAAAGAGGTTCCTGTTCTTTTGTGCAGAGTGTATAAGGAATAGTAAAGTAGTTTAGATCAATGAGACACTTTGGAGACCAAATTTGGTTTTGACACTATTCATGTAACTTTTATTGAAATACAATCAACACAGAATCATATCAGAATCACATCAAGGAGAGCTCTCTTGCACACACACATTCACGCATACTCACGCACACCAGGCCTCCTCCGGCGAAGATGATCAGTCTTTTCCGAGGAAACGTGGACACCCGTTGCTGCAGTTCAGGAAGTGCGTCTGTTGTTGGGGACCCCCTGCATTTATAGGCCAAAATCCATTTTCTTTTTCGTAATCAGGTTGTTCTGACCTTTTTGAGCTCTTCCAAGTTCTTGTCCTTTCCAAAGTTCAAGATATACACATTCCAGATCTTATGAGTTATGGGGTACCTTATGCACACTCCTTATCCTCCTTACGCACTTGATCGCATACCTCATTATTCACTGTCATTCAGGTATGCCTTGCTGCCTCCTCGCTGAGGCTGCCAGCTCCATTCCGTATCAGGCCTTGCTGCCTCCTCACTTAGGCTGCCAGGGCCTTGCTAGTCCATGTTGGTTCTGTCTCTTCAGGCCTGTTTCTTTGGTCCTTCTACATGCATTCTGAACATTCATTCTTTACACCAGCAGTCACACTGCATTTGCCGTAACCCACAGAATGGCAACCTTGGATGCCATTCTCCACTTTGCATTCCTCATGTGCGTCACAAGAAATATCTTGGCATTCAACAACTCCGTTGTCACTGCAGCGGCAGTGCTTCTGGCAGTCTGAAGTGGGATAGAACTCCTCTCCCTTATTGTAGTACTTGTAGTACTCCCTTCTTGTAATACTTGTAGTACTCCCTTCTTGTAGTACTTGTAGTACTCCCTTCTTGTAGTAC